CGGACTCGGAAGTGGCACAGGTATGTCCATGCTGTAGTATGCCTGCAATCAAAACTTTTATCATTTTTGGAGACAATATTTTCGGGTTGCGGCGGCGGCCATAACTTCCTCGGACAGCACAGGCATGTCCATGCTGTAGTATGCCTAAAATTTAAATTTTCATAATATAGAGTTAATAAAGTTGATAGAAAAATTCTAAATTATTTATAGAATAGAATGTTGAACACCATTATATATGTATTTATCAGATTTGACACTTTAAACTTATGGTATGATAAAGATTATAAGAAAATGTAGGAAATGCTATAGAGGCCTAACAAAATAAACGGTTTTCGGTATGAACTGGTTTTGGGTGTGGGAACCAGAACTGAACCAATTGTCAGTTCTGGTATAAACATGGAACCAGAACCTTTATAATTGGCTCGGTCTACTCGGGCCCGTCAAACAGATCCAAATCGTTGACAGCCCTTTGAAGAATACAATAGATGGGAGGGCTATGGCTGCAGCAAGGTTGGTATTTCTTTTTCTTCTCCTTGGGATCTGTTGCTCTAGGTAACGACCCTTCCAACCCATACACAATGTTCAATCTTTTGCTATGGTAGCACATGATTCAGTCATGCGTTGTTGATTTTGGACTTGCCCCGGTGAATAAATATCTCTAAACCAATTTCAACCTTGTCATTGCAGGCGCATTCTTATCAGCTCGCACCGCCTACTGTGGTTTCAACAACGATTGCGATTGTGTAAGCCATCGTTGCTTGTATATGCTAGTACTTTTTTCAAGGATGCCATTTCTTTATTGTCGTTACTGCCCTTGTAATCTTTCTTACTTTTGTAAACTTATATGTGCATCTTCAAGTATTAGCACTTCTGTTATATTGCATTGGGCGAAGCTGATTCGGGCGTTCGAACCAGAGCTGTTGCGAGCCATGGCCTCACATACGTTGGAGCCCAGAATGAGCCACCATAACCTGCTTCCTCTCTATTCACTTCTTGGACTTTTCCTTCCCCACCTATTTCTGATTTGACATTATTGACAAGTGATTGTTGTGGGCGCGCAAATGGCACTCGGACATGATAATGGATTCGGAAGTGGCCCAGGTATGTCCACGCTGTCATATGCCTACAATCCAAGATTTTGTCATTTCTGGAGACAATATTTTCTGGTTGCGGTGGCGGCCTTAACTTCCTAGGTTCTGATGTGTTCAGGCACCAGGAATGCTGGAATTGTGGGAGTGCTGCTCAACCTCTTATGACATTACTATAAAAAAGCCAATCCGCTCTTTGTTGTAAGCATCTCACTTCTCTGCTACATTTGGTGTTCTCTTGTGGTTTTGTTGGTTACTAATTCGCTTGGATTATATGTGCAGTTTAGTATTTCTCGAGGTCCTGCTACTTTGTGGATGGACTTGTCGACTCTTGTGACTTACCATTCCTTCCGGCTTTCGATAACGATGTGAGTATAAGACACGCCAATGCTCAATGAACTTGCATTTTCTTTTTATTTCGTTGGATCAGTGACTTACTGTTTCTCATCTCATCACGCTTTATGTGGTGGAACGAATGGAAGTTGGCTGCCATTGGAGACAAGACTATCAACGGGTGGGGTTCGGGTCTGATCTAGGTAAAAGCACTCCCAAACCGATCCTTTACCGGGACAAATTTGTAGACCCAAAACCGTCACTCTTAACGTAAAACTAAGCATATACAATCACATAGGATGAAAACCGAATCGATCAAACATAAAACCGGTTTTGCTATTTAAATGTTAACCTAAAATTTAAATTTTGACAATATAGAGTTAATAAAGTTGATAGAAAAATTCTAAATTATTTATATGATTGAATGCTGAACACCATTATGTATGTATTTATCAGATTTGACACTTTAAACTTATGGTATGATAAAGATTATATGAAAATGTAGGAAATGCTATATAGGCCTAACAAAATAAACGGTTTTGGGTATGAACCGGTTTTTGGGTGTGGGAACTAGAACCGAACCTATTATCAATTCTGGTATATACATGGAACCAGAACCTTTATAAATGGCTTGGTCTACTCGAGCCCGTCAAGTAGACCCAAATCATTGACAGCACTTTGAAGAATACAATGGATGGGAGGGCTATGGCTGCAGCAAGGTTGGTATCTCTTTTTCTTCTTCTTGGGTTCTGCTGCTCTAGGTAATGACCCTTCCAACCCATACTCAATATTCAATCTTTTGCTATGGTAGCACATGATTCAGTCGTGCGATGTTGATTTTGCACTTGCACAGATGAATAAATATCTCTAAACCAATTCCAGCCTAGTGTGGTTTCAGCAATGACTGTGATAGTGTAAGCCGTCGTTGCTTGTATATGCTAACACTTTTTTCGAGGATGCCATTTCGTTATTGTTGTTGCTGCTCTTGTAATTTTTCTTACTTTTCTAAACTCATCTATGCATCTTCATGTATTGGCACTTCTGCTATATTGCATCTGGTGAAGATGATTCGGGCATTCGAACTGGAGTTGTTGCGAGCCGTGGCATCACATACGTTGGAGCCCATAATGAGCCACCATAACCTCCTTCCTATCTATTGACTTCTTGGACTTTTCCTTCCCCACCTATTTCTGATTTGATGTTATCGACAGGTGATTATCGTGGGCGCGCAAACGGGACTCGGACATGATAATGGATTGGGAAGTGGCCCAGGTATGTCCATGCTGTAGTATGCCTGCAATCCAAGCTTTTATCATTTCTGGAGACAATATTTTCCAGTTGCGGTGACGCCCATAGCTTCCTAGGTTCTGATGTGTTCAGGCACCAAGAATGCTGGAATTGCGGGAGTGCTGCTCAACCTCTTACGGCATTACTATAAAAATCCAATCCACTCTTCGCTGTAAGCATCTCACTTCTCCGCTACATTTGGTGTTCTCTTGTGGACTTTCATTTTCTTTTTGTTCCATTGGATCAGTGACTGACTGTTTCTCATTTCATCATGCTTTATGTGTTGGCTCGAATGGAAGTTTGCTACCATTGGAGACAGGGCTGCCAACAGGTGTGGTTCGGGTCTGATATAGGTAAAAGCACTCCCGAAACAATCCTTAACCGGGACAAATTTGTAGACCCAAAACCGTCACTCTTAACGTAAAACTTAGCGTATACAATCACATAGGATGAAATCCGAACCAATCAAACATAAAACTGGTTTTTCTATTGAAATGTTAACCTAAAATTTAAATTTTGATAATATTGAGTTAATAAAGTTGATAGAAAAATTCTAAATTATTTATATGATAGAAAGTTGAACACCATTATGTATGTACTATCAGATTTGACACTTTAAACTTATGGCATGATAAAGATTATATGAAAATGTAGGAAATGCTATAGCGGCCTAACAAAATAAACGGTTTTGGGTATGAACCGGTTTTGGGGTGTGGGAACCAGAACTGAGCCAATTATCAATTCTTATGTTAACATGGAACCAGGACCTCTATAATTGGCTTAGTTTGCTTGGGCCCGTCAAGTAGACCCGAATCGTTGACAGCCCTTCGAAGAATACAATGGATAGGAGGGCTACAGATCCAACAAGGTTGGTATGTCTTTTTCTTCTCCTTATGATCTGCTGCTCTAGGTAATGGCCTTTCCAACCCATACTCAATGTTCAATGTTTTGCTATCGTAACATATGATTCTGTTGTGCGATGTTGATTTTGGACTTGCACAGATGAATAAATATCTCTAAACCAATTTCAACCTTTTCATTGCAAGCGCATCTTATCAGCTCGCACCGCCTACTGTGGTTTCAGCAACGACTGCGATCGTGTAAGCCGCCATTGCTTGTATCTGATAACACCTTTTTCAAGGATGCCATTTCTTTGTTGTCGTTGCCGCCCTTGTAATTTTTCTTACTTTTCTAAACTCATCTGTACATCTTCAGGTATTGGCACTTCTGTATATTGCATCGGGCAAATATGATTCGGGCATTCGAACCGGAGCTGTTGCGAGCTGTGGCCTCACATACGCTGGAGCCTAGAATGAGCCACCATAACCTCCTTCCTCTCTATTCACTTCTTGGACTTTTCCTTCCCCACCTATTTCTGATTGGATATTATTGATTGGTGATTGTCTTGGGCGTGCAAACAGGACTCGGACGTGATAACGGATTCTTAAGTGGCACAGGTATGTCCTTGCTGTAGTATGCCTGCAATCCAAGCTTTTATCATATATGGAGACAATATTTTCCGGTTACTGTGGCAGCCATAACTTCCTTTGTTCCGATGTGTTCAGGAACCAAGAATGCTGGAATTGTGGGAGTGTTGTGCAACCGCTTACGACATTACTATAAAAAAGCCAATCCGCTCTTCGCTGTAAGCATCTCTCTTCCTTGCTACATTTGGTGTTGTCTTGTGGTTGTGTGGATTACTAATTCACTTGGGTTATATGTGCAGTTTAGGATTGCTCGAGGTTTTGCTACTTTGGGAAAGGACTTGTCGACTCATGTGACTTACCATTCCTTCCGGCTTTGATAACAATGTGAGTATAAGATATTCACATGCTCAATGAACTTGCATTTTCTTTTTGTCCCGTTGGGTAAATGACTAACTGTTTCTCATCTCATCTTGCTTTATGTGGTGGCTCGAATGGAAGTTGGCTACCATTGGAGACAGGGCTGTCAGCGGGTGGGGTTCGGGTCTGATCTAGGTAAAAGCGCTCCCGAACCGATCCTTAACCAGGACAAATTTGTAGACCCAAAACCGTCACTCTTAATGTAAAACTTAGCTTATACCTTCACATAGGATAAATATCGAACCGATCAAACTTAAAACCGGTTTTGCTATTTAAATGTTAACCTAAAATTTAAATTTTGATAGTATAGAGTTAATAAAATTGATAGAAAAATTCTAAATTATTTATATGTTAGAATTCTGAACACCATTATGTATGTATTTATCAGATTTGACACTTTAAACTTATGGTATGATAAAGATTATAAGAAGATGTAGGTAATGCTATAGAGGCCTAACAAAATAAATGGTTTTGGGTATGAACTAGTTTTGGGGTGTGGGAACCAGAACTGAACCAATTATCAATTCTTGTGTAAACATGGAACCAAGACCTTTATAATTGGCTCAGTCTGCTCAGGCCCGTCAAGCAGACCTGAATCGTTGACAGCCCTTTGAAGAATACAATGGATAGGAGGGCTATGGCTGCAGCAAGGCTGGTATGTCTTTTTCTTTTCCTTTAGGATTTGCTGCTCTAGGTAATGGCCCTTCCAACCGATACTCAATGTTCAATCTTTTTCTATGGTAGCATATGATTCTGTCGTGCGATGTTGATTTTGGACTTGCAAAGATGAATAAATATCTCTAAACTAGTTTCAACCTTGTCATTGCTGGCACATTTTTATTAGCTCACACCGCCTACTGTGGTTTCAGCAACGACTGTGATCGTGTAAGCCACCATTGCTTGTATATGCTAACACTTTTTTCAAGGTTTCCATTTCTTTATTGTCGTTGCTGCCCTTTTAAGTGGCACAGGTATGTCCATGCTGTAAAATTCTTGCAATTCTGGACTTTTATCATTTTTGGAAACAATGTTTTCCAGTTGTGGTGGCGGCCATAACCTCCTTGGTTTTGATGTGTTCAGGCACCAACAAAGTTGGTATTGTGGGCATGTTGCGCAACCACTCCTTGCGTTACTATAAAGAAGCCAATCCACTCTTTGATGTAAGCATCTCATTTCTCCACTTCATTTGGTGTTCTCTTGTGGTTGTGTGGGTTACTAATTCGCTTGTGTTATATGTGTACTTTTGGATTGGTCATGGTTTTGCTACTTTGAGGTAGGGGCTTGCCAACTCATGCGTCTCACCATTGTTTCCGTTTTTCGGTAACAATGTAAGTATAGGACACACCCCATGCTTAAATAATAACTCATGTTATTAACCGAACCAGTTATACTGGAAACTACTTGTTTTTGTTTAAATAGTAACTTAATATTTTAATTTTCATAATATGACGTTAAATTAAATTTATTGAAAAATACTAAATTATTTATATGTTAAGGAATTAAACACCTTTAACTATCTTTTAGATTTGTCATTTTAAACATATAATATGATAAAATTTATAGGAAAATTAAGGAAACATGAAATATACTTGATAGAATAATTGGTGTTGGGTATGTGTTGGTTCCGGAGAAGTGAACAGGCACTAACCCAATTATTGATTCCAATATAATCATGGATCTAGATCCGCTATAATCAGATTGGTCTGGTCGGGCCCATTGGGTAGAGCCTTCACTCCCCCTTCCTTTCCTTTATTACAAATTCCCCTCCTTGGGAATCATTCCCCAATACAAAAATCCCTTCTAAATTTTTTGGTCTTATTTTATCTTAGTGATGCTATTTATGTCATATATCAATATTCAATAACAACCCTCTACTTGTCCTTGCATCTAATTATCACCATCAATTTTTCTTGTCAAGTAGATAGATGATAGTGGTACTTTGAAACCGGTTTTTATCATGCTGCATTTGCACAAAGTACTAACATGGCCTCAGACTTTCATTGAATTAAGGACATGCCAAATTCAACTCTTTCAGTTGGCCAATGACAATATGAGTGCATCTAATAGCTTGTCAAATTTTGGTGTGGTATCTTGTCAAATTTTTGGGGATCTTCTTTGGTTTTTGATTGGGTCTGGTTTGTTGTGGCAGTTTGTTTTTAGAGTCTTGTTGTTCAATTTTGGTGTTGTAAGGTGGGTTCAGTTGTTGTGTGTCTCTCACTCGGGTGATACCTTATCTCCTTTCTTTTGTATTGTTTTCCCTTTTATAAATTTTATTTTATTATAAAAAAAAAAAGATTATCAAATTGACTGTTATTATGATTCAGCCTGCCCTTGAGTTCTGTTAGTCTGATAACAGCCAAGAAGAGAGAAGAAGAAAGAAGAAAGGAAGAGAGAGAGAGAAAATAGGAGAGAAGAAAAGTCTGGTTCGAATGAGAGAAAAATTACCTCTYCCATTCGGCYAGACATGTTTTATATTACTAACATAATGGAAAAGACACATGTGCCCTTACTTAAGTGAGGGACACTAGTTCTAATATAATATTACAGATCAGCAACCTCAACATAAGTATAAAGACAGAAATACCCCTACATACCCGACACTAACAATTGTCTTGTTTTTTGGTTGCTAATGTGGTTTAAATTCATATCAAATTAGAATAGAAGAACCTTTCACTCTTTCTCACTCACTCTCCCACTTGTTTGATCGATTGACATAGAAAGTAAAATATATTGAGAAAGGGAACAGAAGTATACAAGGAGTGCAGAAGGACAAGCCCAAAGTTCAAATTCAAAACAAAAGCAACCAATGAAATTCCACACCTCCACCCCATTTTTTCCTCATACCCAAAATACAACTCCTTAATCCTCCTGCAGCTTGAAAGGCACACTAAAACCGAAAAACCTTCATTAAGGCCTTGACACTGTGTTCACATAGAAGTAGGGGCATCATTGTTGGTTGCTTATTTAACTTTTTAATTGAATTTAAAGAGAAGTTTTAAGGATTCCTAATCTTTGTTTATATTCACAGATAGAAGCACAATCAATAACTACTCCTGGGCATAGAGTTTTCTGTGCCTTTCTAAGCGATTGAACTTGATGTGTGTGTGTGTGTGTGTGTGTGTCAACCTGGAACTCTGAAACATCTTAAGAAAATTTTTTACCAAAAAAACTTTTTGCAATTGCAGCTACAACTCCAATCCTTGATGGAAACCTTGAGTTCAACAGAACCTCACTACATCAGATGTGTAAAGTCAAATAATGTCCTCAAACCTGCTATTTTTAAGAACTTCAACATCATCCAACAATTATGTTGTGATGTAAGTTCAATATGAAGAAGACAATTTTCTACTTACCTTCTTTTTTACTATCTGCTGTTTCATATGCAATATTTCTTTTTTTTCATTTAAGCAAACTCTTTTGGTTATATCACCATCCTTGTAGGTTGTTCTTGAAGCAATTAGGATAAGCTATGCTGGATATCCTACTAGGACATTCTATGAATTTCTTCATCGTTCCAGTGTTCTTGCTCCAGAAGTTTTGGAAGGAAAGTAAGTCTTGTAGTTCTTTTTTCAATTTATGTATTCAATATAGTGGGTGTAATTCCCCCCCCCCCACTGTTTTAAAATCAAATGGCCCTTTTCTTCTACAGTTATGATGATGACAAGGTTGCATGCCAAATGATTCTAGAGAAAAAAGGGTTGAAAGGTTATCAGGTGATCCCAACATTACTGATAACTCATAATTTGTTCATGCTACTCAAAGGGTTACCATAGATCTTACAATGATTTCCAATGCCATTTTATTCATGTCATGTGCAACATCTGTGTTGAAAATCTTTTTGTTGATCAATATCCTAAATGCCTTTCTATTTTTCCTAGTTAGAGAAATATTTAGGGTAAATTACTGAAACCTCTCCTGAAGTTTTTGGTTGTTGCTGAAACCTTCCCTCGAGTTTGGTAATTGCAATCACCTTCCCTGAACTTTCTAACATAGTTGCATGTAGATCCCCTTTGTTAAAATCTTCTAAAAAGAGGCATGAAAATGTCCAAAATATCCACACAGCTACTTGCACTGATGAAATTGATTTATTTCCAAATTTGGCCTTCATATCAATCATTCAAAGGCAAATCTGCAACTTTAAGACTTTAAGTTCTTTATTTTTTGTTATTTATAAAATTTGTATTGTTCTTTTCTGTAGAAACCAGTCTCAATGGTAATTGCATGGGTATTTTGGACATTTTTGTACCTCTTTTTAGAAGATTCTAACAGAGGGGCTCTACTTGCAACTGTATCAAAAGGTTCAGGGGAGATGATTGCAATTTTCAAACTTCAAGGGAGGTTTCAGAAATTTACCCAAATGTTTATCCTAAATGTGAATGCGTAGAAATTATCTATCATGTATCGAGCTACTAGGATTTTCTCATTAGTACTTGTCCATATGGTTGTTGTGTTGACACTTGACACTTGACAGTTAGGCAAGACAATGTGTTCCTGAGAGCTGGTCAGATGGCTGAATTGGATGCACGAAGAGCAGAGGTGCTTGGAAATGCAGCCAGAACTACTCAAAAACGAATTCGTACATATATTGCTCAGAAAGAGTTCATCTCCTTAAGGAAGGACGCTATTCATTTGTAATCTTGTTGGCAAGGTACTTCTTGTTTTGTTTCATTTCATACTACATATGATCCCATAAATAGTTGTTTTTTCTGATATCATTGAACATTTAATACCACATATGCTATCTTAAATGCCTCAGATAAACTGATTTGTTGATCTTCATATTGATATGAGATGTGACAGTGTGACTCTAGAAGACTGACTGTTATGTTCATTCAGAAATTGTAATTCAGTTCATACTTGATACAAGTTAACATGATATCTCAATACATTAAATATGACAATGTTAGTTTTTCTAGAAGTACACAAGATTAGACATTTGAGAGGCCTCATTTGTGGCAAATAGCTGAGGAGGAAATTCTTTTCCTAGAAAATCAAATGCCTTCTTTATGTACTTCTCTAGACTACATTTCTATATGCTTTAACAATCATTTTGTTCCTATTCTTTGTAGGTAAAATGGCCAGCAAAATGTATGAAAAGTTAAGGCGTGAAGTAGCTGCTGTGAAGATACAGAAGAATTTCTGTCGGTATATTGCCAGGAAGTCCTTCATAAGACTACAGTTGTTGCAGACAGGCTTAAGGGCAATGACTGCACAGAAGGAATTCAGATTACGCAAGCAAATCAAGGCTGCTATAATGATCCTTTAGTATGGTTTTTCATGGCCCATAGTTGTAACGATTCATGCATTTCCAGCATACACATTATTGGTAATGATCTGTCCAAATTTTCTCAGGCTGCAAGAGAAACAGGGGCCCTAAATGAGGTGAAAGACAAACTAGAGGAGCCAGTGGTTGACTGTAACTCAAGTAATTTAGTCCTTCATGGGATGAAAGAGCCAATTGGAGGATGCAAGAATGGAACCAAGGAAAAGGAAGAAGATTTGGAGGAAGTGGAGGGGTCGGATAGAGGCCAGGAACTTACCAGAAGGCTGAAAGGAGCTACAGAAACTTTAAACACAGCTAGAAGATGCAGATCTAAGAAGGCTAGGAAAAATCGTCAGCAGATAGCAGTGTCAAAGGTTTTTGCAAGGCTAAAAGGTGCTCCGTTTGGCATTGGGCATGACAAGGCAGTAAGAAAACATAAAAATGCAGTCAGAAGACAACAAGAAGCTTGCATCCAGGATTCAAAAGAGATTGGGGACTGTTAAGATTAGGATTTGGATTTTCATTTTGGTTTAATTTTAGCCGGGTGGTGGGTATGGGTGATTGGGGACTGTTAAGGGCATCTGTTTTTTGGGATGTGAATGTCGGGGTTTTTTCGATCTATTTTGTATCACTTATGTGTAGGTTATAAGAGTTTTGGTGTAAAGGGGTTGGCCATGTGTGGGTAGTTTGGGATGGATGGCTGTTGTTTCAATCTTGTTGGGTGTTTTTCTTGTTTTATTTCTTTCTCTTTGGGTGATTACTTGTCACCTTTCATTGTATCTTCTTTTTCTTTTAATAATTTTTTTTAATTATCTTCAAAAAAAAAACTTGCATGGCATTTGCAGTTTGAGGAGCGATTGAGGGTAGAGATGTCTTATCCTTTACTGAAGAAACTAAGGTTTTGTGGCTATGGAGGCTATCCATACATAGCTATTACAGTAGATTTACAACATAACTTCCCTTCATTCTTGAATCAGTTATGCTATGTTATGGTCTTATTGTTACAGCACCCCCAATGAGTTTTAATTCAGAGGATTATCATTGGGAAGGCCTTCCAAGAGTAATTATACTCTCCTCTCCTCACAAGTTACTAAGTTTAATAGATGTGGTTTATGGATTCGAGTGTAAAAGTTGGTAGATTCATCAAGCATTGGCCCCTACGCCATTAATCAAGTAATCCATCTAGGAAGTAATTTGAATCTGCAGCATAGGACACAACCTATGTACCATTTTTTTCCATCTTGGTACTACATAATATTGTAAAAAATTAGATAATAAAATGATGATGGAGAATAAAAGAAGTGGCCAATAACCAAGTATTTGAGATGGTCAGTGGGTGTTATTATTTCTTAACATGTTGTGTGAGTACAACACATTCTCTGCCTCTCTCTCTCTTACAAACACACAAGAACATGCACATAAATACCTCCAATAAGATATCGAAATGCCTCATTGTCAGGCTTAAATAATTCAGAGGTCCTAGATTTCCACATTTGTTTTAAATCATGTATCCAATGATTTTCTTTGTCTCTTTGTGGCTCTGATTAATTAGAGCTAGGATCTCATAGATACTTTTTTCCTCTTTGTTGCTCCTCTAACCAACATTCTTTGTTGATTAGTTAGAGCAATTCTAACCAACATTCTTTGAAATTTGCGGAGCACATCTCTCAATAAATACATTAAGGATTTTTGTAAATTAGGCTCAGTTTGGAAGGAATATAAATACAAATATGTACAATACAAAGTCATACAAAATAAAAGGTTTTGCACTCTATATATTTGTATTTGTACTCCTTCCAAATGGAGCCTTAGGTTTTCGAGTTGATGCTATGGTGTATCTTCTGAGAACGTTTCTGATAGAGTGTCGGCCCTCTATGTTGGCTTTTGCAAATATTAAGCAATTATTTATAAATTGCAAAATAATAATAGGTGGTCCCCTTTCTGAGGTTTTAACCCCTAATTGGGTCCTATTTCCTTAGGATTATGCTATAGATATCTTATTAGAACCTCACTTATATCACAAAAAGATATGTGGTAGAGGATTCCCCCTATCTAATTCCTCTACTTGGTTTGAAACTATTAGTTAGGGCTCCATTAACTAATATCTGGTAGTTCGTTGCAGTTGTGCTTTCCATTACCCATTCAACCCAATTCATGTGAAATTCAAATTTGAGGAGAGCATGCTTAAGACAGTCACATTCTAATCTGTTATAGGCTTTTTCCTGTAACGATTTTGTAGGCTAGCACCCAATTTACAAAATAAGAAACTTTCGGTGGGCAAAATCTGAGTCTAATCCTCATCCTTTCCAATGTTTTGCTTAGAATAAATTGGCTCAACCAAAAACCTATGGGGGTATGGGTTCCAGAATAACCAAAACAGTTAACCTTTGTGCTATTAAAGAAATGACCTGGTGAATTCTATTTGGAATGGAAATCTTATCCAATCTCATTTTGATCAGGTTGACCTGCAAAATATTACCATTGCTAGAGTTTGGCTTCAGCATCCAACAAGTCAACTTTCAACTAAACATGCCTATCTACACCTTCAACATAACAACTTTCAAACCCCCCTTGTTTTTCTGCAACTATAAAGAATTGCATTAAATAGGTTTGGAAGCTTCCCATACCCCTGATACCAATTGACAATTGTTCATGTGGCGCCTTTTAAATGATTTCAATCCAAGAAAGGAAATGTTGTTTTGTTCTCCTTAGGAAACTTTTGAAAAAGACAAAAAGTTTATTGTGCCAATTCAGCTCCTTCTCTTTTTGTCATGTAAATCGAAAGTTCAATATCCCTTATCACCTAGCTGCTCAACGAGCAAAAAAAATTGGATTAAGGACTTTTTTTTCTTCTAATAGTAACCCTTCTTGGGCTCCATATGTAAAGAACTTTGTAGATATTTATGCTATTTAATTTAATCCATTTAATTATCAAAAAGAAAAATGCAACTAGTGTCTTTTGGTTATCATATCTTTTTTTAAACCCAATAATTTACTCTTGATGAAGGGGTGCCCACCATGAATTTTATTAATTTAAAAAATCTATGGGGGGGACAAAAAACTTTATCCCTCTAAAAATCTATACAACTTAGGGTCCAGCTCATAGATATACAAAATGTCTTGAACCTAAAGAAAATCAAGAAGTCCTAAGATAAGGTAAACCAAGACAATTCACATGAATGATATTATAGTTTTCAAGACGCCAAGGTGAGGCTAGGCGACAGGGGCACCTTGTCGCCTAATTGCCTAGGCAATGGATTTGTTATGTAAAAAACATAGATCCTAGAGTAGTTCCTTATGTACCATAATCATAGCTTATTAAATAATTATTTATACTTTTCACAAGGAAAGTATAAAGTTCATGTTAAAGTATAGAAAATCAACATATTCACGAGAAGAGAAAATAATGGAAAGAAAATTTAAAAATATAGGGGATGAACCCTTGTTTTTGTTATAGGAAAAGAGTAAAAGAAATAGTAGTAGTAGTATAATACATGGAAAAAGAAGATGAATATATGGAAGAAGAAAACGTGTTTATCAGACAAAATTTTAAGTTCTTCCTTATTATTGGTTCAGGTTTTAAAATCTTTGAGGATTCAATACAACATTTAGGAAGGTTTATGTTGATTAAACCCTAACAAATAAGAAAAATAATAAAAAGAAATAAGTATATAAACACATAAAAATGAATATTTTTGTTTAATAATATATTTTATAATTATAATTTCAAAAAATAAAGAATAAAAAAGTGTTTTATAATAAAAAGTACAAAACTGCTTGGCAATTAAATGAGGTGAACCTCAAAATGTGCCTTATTGCCTAGGTATCGCCTTGACTATGAATGATATCATGGATGACTATGAGTCTACGTCAATGCACCCGTGGGTTCACTAGATGCGTGAACCCACCAACCAAAAATGACCACGTCGGCATTTTGAATAAACACTAATTTTGATGGATGTTTCAGCCGTTAGCTGAATAAACCCGGTTCAATCACCTGTAAAAAGACAAAATGCAAAAAATAGGGCTTCTTCCAAAGACGTTGTTAGAGTCTAATCACTGTGTTTGCGAGATCTGCAATCAGAGATTTCAGAGAGGCCAGAGCCTTCAGATGCACCTGTGCCGGCAGAAGGTGCAGTGGAAGCTACTCAAGAGGGAGACACCAGAGGTTCGAAAGAGAGTGTTTGTTTGCCCAAAACCCAGCTGGCCCTTGCCACGCACTGGGCGATCTCGTCGGCATAAGGAAGCATTTCAGAATGAAGCACAACAATCACAAGCAATGAATGTGTGAGAAGTGCTCCAAAGGATACGATGTTCAATGGGATTATAAAGCTCATAGGATACGATGTTCAATCGGATTATAAAGCTCATCTTAATACCCACAACTAAAGGCCGCTCGCTTGATCGAAGTTGCTTCTTGGGTCTCTCATTTTTCTTTTCTATGTATCCAATTAAATTCAAACCCAAGAACTTAATCTTAGTAGATGGAAAGTACCTTGTTAAATTGTCAACAGTTAAGTAATACTTATACTTGATGAGCCATAGTTCTTAAGATCAGGATCTCCTTAAACACAAGTGTCCTTTGGTGAATAACTTATTTTTTATCTATTTCTTATTGATTTCCCTCCCATCTTCCCGTTTGAATTAATCCAAAATCCAAATCCAGTCTAACTAAAACGTAGCTTTTTTTATTGATTTCTTTATTTATTTCATTTTAAGATGGGTGCAGCTTTTTTGTTAAACGTATCTTCTACAAGACAAACAGGAAGATCAAGAGCCACTTGAACGTTCTGCTTGTTCTAGTTTTTTTTTTTTTTTTTAATTTTCGTGTTCCATCATCCATTTGGAGTACCCATTTGATCAAACTGTAAACTGATTGCTTTGATTCATTTGTTTTAATTTCTCTCTGATCAGGGTTGACAGATTCATTGAACACCAAGATGCTTGTAATGGTGGGCGTCTTAGAACTGAGTTGCAGACACTATAATCGGCAACTTTCCTGTCTCGAACAGCTTCAAGCCCGAGCCCATCGAGTGACGCAAATTTCAGTACAGCTCCTTGGCCTGGATTGAAAATGCAAAAGCCGAAGGAACTCATCTTCTTATGTCTAGAACGGAATAATCCACCCACTATGGAGTTCAAATCAGCCCTTGCCCCCATAACATCTCACAACACATCCTCGCCGTGTATTGTGAACATCTCCGCTGATGACATCATCATTTCTGATATCATCATCCAGAAATGTTCCCGCTTGAATGTGCTGGGGACTGATTTGCTCTCTCCACTGTGAAACAATGCCACAATACGGAATTGTAGCTGTTATCATCATCAAATTATATTAAAAATACCTTTGGTACCACGGTTTCCCCAAATACAGACGAAAATCATGCTACCTAATTGCAGCTCTCAATTAGGTCATGTGACCATGACAACAAGATTGATTCAAACAATGCCAATTTGAGAAAAGATGCAAATAGAAACTCTCCCAAAGAGAAGACTGCCA